GGGCCTGAGCTCTGGACTGGGAGGAGGGTGGTCAGGGTCTGCGCTGGCCTGAGCTCTGGACTGGCAGGAGGATGGTCAGGGTCTGGACGGGCCTGAGCTCTGGACTGGGAGGAGGATGGTCAGGGTCTGGGCTGGCCTGAGCTCTGGGGACTAGGAGGAGGATGGTCAGGGTCTGCGCTGGCCTGAGCTCTGGACTGGCAGGAGGATGGTCAGGGTCTGCGCTGGCCTGAGCTCTGGACTGGCAGGAGGGTGGTCAGGGTCTGGGCTGGCCTGAGCTCTGGGGACTGGGAGGAGGATGGTCAGGGTCTGGACGGGCCTGAGCTCTGGACTGGGAGGAGGATGGTCAGGGTCTGCGCTGGCCTGAGCTCTGGACTGGGAGGAGGATGGTCAGGGTCTGGGCTGGCCTGAGTCCCTGGGGGCCATGTGGCCAGGGCAGAGGGAGTTCTGGGCACCCAGCATCCTGGCGCCCAGCACTCCGTGTGGAGGGCTCCTCCTCCACAGGGCCTCCAGGAGCTGAAGGGCCAGCCACTGGTGGGCGGGATCCTACCTCAGGAGCCCAGGGCAGAGGTGCACAGATGCAGACAGGGCCAGCAGAGCCCTCTCCCTGCCCCTCTGGCCAGCTCCCTCCTCCCAGCCCTAACTGGCTGTGCGGAAGGGAGGGAGTTGGGGGTGTGGAGCGCCCAGGACCCAGGCAGGGGTGGGGGAGGAGAGCTCGCTGTCACGCACCTCCCTGCACTGTCCACCCTCCTGCGGCACCATCGCGTGCTCCGGCTGCCCACTTCCTCTTGCAGACACCACAGCTCATGTGAGGTCATATTGCGTGCAAAGAGACCCAGGCTGGCTGGCTGGCAGGCACTTGACAGGATGGGGTAGCCAACAGCACATGTTCCCAGCCCGCCTCCCCCCAGCACAGCCTGAAGGGGCCTGGAGCAAGGTGCCCTCTGTGTTAGTTAGTGCAGCTAGAGGACAGGTGCCAAGGCCAGCCCTGCAGCCCCCTGGCCAGGCCTCTGCTCTCCACCGGAAGACCTCGCAGCCCTCCTCACCCAGAGCTGGGGCCCCAGCAGCAGGAGCTCTAAGTCCCCCTCCCCCTGGCTGGGACCAGCTCCTTAGAAGTGGGCGGGATCCCTTTGCTCTCCAGTCTCCAGCTGGCCCACGCCCACGCCTGCCTGCCCGGCTGTGTCTGCAGTGTCCTGCAGGCCTCAGTAGGGTCTGTCAACACCCCCCCCATCCACAAACACAGCCACCTTTGAAATTCCCAGGGCCACCTCCACACCCCAACTTGTCACTGGCTTCCTGCAGCCACAGAGAGGCTTGTTTGTAGCAGCAGGCATGAAGAGTCAGCGTGGGGATTGAAATGGCCACGCTGAGAGCAGGGGAGGTGAACGCTCTGCTGGCCGGCTTCCCCCTCCCACACACCACGCCTGAGCCCTGCTTCACACCAGCAGGGTGTTCAGTCCTGCGGGGGATGGTCCTGGGGTCACCCGTGCGGTGGGACCCACCCTTTCCGAGCCCTGTGCCGCAGCTCTGCCCAGTGTTCCTGGGACAGACAGGTACTGGGCCATCCCTGCGGCGTGTGGGCCAGAGTATGAGGAAGGTGGCCGCCTCAGCCCTGGCTCCAGGCAGCCAGTCCCCCGGAGTGGAGCAGCCCCAGGCGGCCTTTAGCCATCCTTTTCCTAGACAGGACCAAGCCAGCTGGAGCAGAGGTGGTACAGAATTGCAGCAAGCTTCCTACATGTTTACAAGGTTAGGAAAAGCATATTTCAGATCCTCAATACGCAGAAGTGGGCTCTATTAGAGACAGAGAAGACTGTAGGAAAGAGAATCGAAGGAGGAAAGACAGACTAAACAGAGTCAGGTGGCATCTGATAACAGGGCATGGGCAAACACATCCTCTATCATCTTGGGCTGACCAAGACACCCCAGGCTCTTTTCAGGAGAAAAGCCAGAAATGGAGATGTAGCTCAAGAGGTAAGGTGCTATTCTTGGACAAAAAAAAATCTAAGCAAGAGTACAAGTCCCTGAGTTCATGCCCCAGTACTAGCAAGAAGAAAAAGAAAAAAAACAAAATACAAAGAGATATGAACTCACCCTAGTT